CTAAGAAGTATGTTCACAAATTGATGAGATGCACTGAGAACTTCAATGCCCGCAGCCTATTTGGTCAACAGAAAGGACCCATTTCTTCTCCATCGCAGCGCCCCACCACAGGTCACACAACCAGCGCTTCAAAAGTTAAACAAATTGGGCCATAGAAGTCTTTGTTTATTTTTGTTAAGAATTATTTATTTAATTTAATCAATTTATTTATTTATTTTAACTCACCAGAGAGAAGAACAGAGGGAAAGTGAGAAAGCAGGCTGCCAGGTCCAGGACTCAAACTGTCGTCAACCACATGGAAGTCCAGTGCTATAACCACCACACCATTTGCTGACCCCAGTCTGCAAAGTTTTGCATTGTCTGCCATATTCACTTGACCTCCCACCAACCAACTACTACTTCTTCAAGCATCTGAACAACATTTTGCAGGGAAAATGCTTTCACAAGCAGCAGGATGCAGAAGATGCTAAGAGTTCATCAAAACCCAAAGCATGGATTTTTATGCTTCAGGAATAAACTTATTTCTCATTGGCAAAAATGTGTTGATTGTAATGGTTCCTATTTTGATTAATATCAAAGATGTGTTCGAACCTAGTTATAGTTATTTTAAATTCTCAGTCCGAAACTGCAATTGCTTTTGCATCAACCAAATAAGTAGGATGTTTTACTTGTCAATCAAATACACTACACTAGATGCTAGAGATTCAAAGAAGATTTTTAAAAGAGGAGAAACAAATTTATAAGAAATAATCCTGTACATGTGACTAGCAGTTTAAAGGAACCATCTATGTATAAAGTGCAGTAAGGACATAGAAGAAAGAACCACTTGATCTGCCTGCCTCCTTCGAAAAGCCTGGGTTAAGCCTGAGTGGTGTTCTGAAGGATGAAACATTTTCTAGGTGAACAGATAGTGCAAAGAAACAGAGGTGCAAAGGAGTGTGGCCAGCTCTGGAAATGAGCAACGTCGTATGAAAGGAGGGGAGGACCACTATATAAAAATGGCAGCTGAAATTGTCAATGACAGCCAGATTATAAAGATTCTTATAGGGGTGCCAAAGGATTTGGACATGACATGTAGAGGATAGGCATATTAGTCAAGGCTCTCCAAAGAAATAGGAATATATACACACACACATATACCCTTAAACTATTTCTTTATCTATATAATAAATAGGTCATGTATATATTACATAAATTCAAATTACATAGGCAGTCGTGTGCCACATAATGACATTTCAGTCAAAAATGGACCACATACACAACCAAGTCCCCATGAAGAGCAGGTCGGCTAGACCACACAGCCTGGGTATCTATCAGGCTATACCATGTAAGTTTGCGTTGGTACACTATGATGTTTGCACAACTGTGAAATTGCCTAACACATTTCTCAGACTGCATCTCTGTCATTAAGCAACACATAACTTGTGTGTGCATGTGTGTGAGTGTGTGAGCATGTGTGTGTGTGTATAAAGAGAAAGGGGGGATTTTAAAGAGATTGGGTTATGCCACTGTGAGGACTGACAATTCCAAAATCCACAAAACAAACCAGCAGGCCAGATATTAAGATAAGAGTTAAAGTTCCAGTTTTGAATCCAGGGACTGAAAATTAAGACAGAATTTCTATGTTGCTTTCTGAAGGCAGAATTTCTCATTTTGGGGGAACCTTCTTCGCTCATAAGACCTTCAACTGATTGAATGAGGCCCACTCATATTATGGACCGCTTTACTTAGAGTTGACTGTAATCACGGTGTATATAAATGTAATCACAAGTAAAAAATTCCTTTACAGCAACATGCAGACTAGTATTTGACTGAACAACTGGTCACCATAGTCTAGTCAGGTTGACACATAAAGTTAAATATCACAATGGGGAAACATATAGGCATTGATGACCAGTGGGCAGTTTCTATAGTTACTTATATATCTAAAGGTCTGGAAGGATGACTGGGCTGACTCACTTGAAAGCCAAGTAAGTAGTTGAAGCTATAAAACAAATGAAATATAACTTTACATAAGAAAAGAAAAAGGAAAAAAGAACTCAGGCCAACCAGGTGGAGTGGTGGTTAAAGCAGTTGGGTCCTACGTGGTCAACTGCACAGTTGAATCCCCAGACTCAGTGGCTTGAAACACACATTGGGGAGGTGGACATGCATGACCAAAATCCTGACAGGAAAATGGAGGAGGAGGGATTGTGGTGTGACCTTTGGGGTGATTTCTCACTTTCCTTTTCTTTCTGTTTCTGGCAAGTGCTTGTCTTTTACTTTTGTGTGTCTTTTTAAGAGAATTATTTAATTTTATTTACTATTATTTTTTAAAGAATTATTTTATTTAACTTTATTTATTTATTTACTTATTTTAATTTGACCAGAGAAGGACAGAGTGAGATAAAGCAAGAGAGAGAGAGAGAGAGAGCACGCGCACACACATGCCTCCTGGTCTGGGACTTGAACTGTGGTTGGCCATGTGAGAGACCAGCGCCCTTAACCACCACACCAACTGCCAGCTCCTATTTACTATTACTATTTTAATTTCCTATAGGACACAGGCACTCACCAGGGAAAGACAGAGAGAGAGAAACAGAGAGTGAGAAAACAAGCCACTAGGTCTGGGACTCCAATTGCAGTCAACCATGAGGGAGTCCAGCACCTTAACCTTAACCACCACACCACCTCCTGGCCCAAATATAGAGATTTTTTACATGTTATGATAAGTCAATGGCTGAAAAGGTCCTAGTGAAGTGCAAGAAATACAAAGTGCTTACCTCTAAGGCTGACATTCAGGAAGACAGCCAAGATTTGTCACCATTTGTCTTGCATTCTGTCCCCTAGAGAGAAAATGTTTGACGGGCCAGGTAACTGGCCTGATGTGGTGGTAAAGCAAAATAAGCAGAAGGCCATTCTCTTTGGTTGCTTCTTACCCAGAACCCTTAAACAAGCAAATCAAAACTTAACCTAGAGACATTTCTTATAACTGATCAAATTAAAAAGCAAACAAGCTAAACAAAGTTCAGCCAATCATAAACTTTCAACTACTTATTAGTTACATAACTAGGGAATTTCTATAAGATCTAACCCAAATGGGGCAAATGCCCAGTTGTAGCCAGTGAAGTTAGTGCTTTACTTTGCTTCGGTGGTCAGACTATAAAAGTATGCTTTTGGGACCAGCAGTTAGCGTAACGGCTATGTTGCTGAATTCCCACATAGCCAAGTGGTTCGAGTCCCAGACCCGGTGGCTTAAACTCATGCTGGGCGCGTGTGTGTGAGTGCCCAAGATCCTGAGATCCCAAGAGGAGAATGAGGAGAAGGGATTGTGGTGTGGCCATCCCCCCCGGGGGGTGATTTCTCGCTTTCTGTCTCTTTCTGGCAAGCGCAGGTGTCCTATAGCCAAAAAAAAAAAAAAAAAGGTACACTGTTAAAGCAATGCTTTTTGAACCTCTTCTGGTTTTGAGTGCTGCCTATTTCAAGAAATCCCCCACCCCCAACCCCGTGTGTGTTGGTTGTGGTGGGATTAGGAGTGAGAAAGCATCCCTTCATGGGAGATGGTTGTAATGCAATTTCTTCTCCATTAGTCCCTTTCGAGATTTTTGGGCACTCACATATATATATCTTGTGTGTTTTTCTTTGTTTTTAGAATTATTTTTTATTTAACTTTATTATTATTATTATCCTCTGTCTCTCTCTGTCTTTCTAGCAAGTACACACACCCTATAACAAAAGCCTCACAATCCTTTCTCCTCCATTCTCCTTTCAGGATTTTGGGCACACATACACGTGCACCCAGCGTGGTTTTCAAAGCCAGAGGGCCTAAAATCCCAACCACTACACTACCTGCTGGCCCCCAAATATATTTATTTTATTAGCCTTTTTCTTTTCTTTTTTCTTTTCTTTTCTTTTCTTTTCTTTTCTTTTCTTTTCTTTTCTTTTCTTTTCTTTTCTCTTTTCTTTTCTTTTCTCCTCCCTCCTTCCCTCCCTCCCTCTCTCTCTCTCTCTTTCTTTCTTTCTCTTAAGAGGTTTTTGCTATAGGGCGAGTGTGCTCGCCAGTACAGAGAGACAGAGACAGAAAGCGAGAAATCACCCCAGGGGGGATGGCCACGCTGCAATCTCTTCTCTTCCATTGTCTTCTCGGGATCTGGACACCGACGCACACACACCCGGCGTGAGTTTAAGCCACCGGTTCTGGGACTCGAACCACGGTTGACTACATGGGAGTCCAGCGACACAGTCATTACGCTAACTGCTGGTCCCCAACCTTACATATTTTGGGGAATCAAACAGTGTATAGCTTAGGTATAAAATAGCTATACTACTTTTGGATGTTTTCGTCGTGATAATAGGAAAATAACATTTTCTTGAAAGACTACTGTACGTAAAGCACTACAAATTTGCCGACATCCATCTGACACGGACTTTCATTTCAGATAGTTACTAGACTGGGCTGTCCCTGCGTATTTAGCGATTGACCATGGCCAGCAGTTTCATGCGAAGCAACTTTTTTGTTTACAGACAAGCGGAGCGTCCAATCACCTTCCTCTACAAGAGTTAAGTACATAATCTCGCGAGAAAACACCGACTTCTCGTTTTCTTTTTGAAGCCTGGGCTTTCAAATGACGTTAAAAGTGTATGTAAAATGTTTTAGGATCGTGCCTGTTCTTTGACCACAGGCTTGGGAGGAATCAAAATCCTCTTCTATTATAGCTTTATTTTCATTTTCAATCTGAGGAGGGAACTACGTAGACGCGAGAGCAGGTTTGCTTCCTCGGCGGCAAGGCCCGGGATGCAAACTGACGCCAGTGCAGGGGGTGAGGAAGGCACCAGCGCACCAACTCGACCCAACTTCTCGCAACCCGTCCCGGTCCCAGTCGCAGTCTCCACCCCGAGCACCCGCCGCAATCTACGCGGATCTCCAACGCCGCCCCTCACCCCCAGCGGCAGGCCAAGGGAGGAGGGAGGAGCTACGGGCACGCACGCGAAGCCACGCCCCCGCCGTGACGTCTGGAGACGCGACGCGTCGCCACGCAATGCAAATCGGGAAAAGGGGATGAGCTGGGCTGGCTTCCGTCGGGATAGCGAAGGCTGATTTTCCATCCGCTTGTTGAAAGATGGGCCTTTGGCGAGGAGACCGGCGTTGGTAAAGCGCGCCCGACGCCATGGTGAGTGCGAGTCTGGGCCCTAGTGTCTGTTTCCTGAGAGGTGATCCGCAGCGAATCCCCTTTACCTCCACAGGCTACTGGTCACCGGGGAGACAAGCCCTGTCCGCGGAGAGGGGTGGGACAACCCCTAAGCATCGAGCCGGCTTGCGGATGAAGGGCTCAACTCCGACTCTTCCCGCTGCCTACTTAGAGTTGCCTAGGAGTTTCGTGTGGTTTTCCGGTCTTGGAAGGTGGCCTTGGCCATCGCTCTTGTCTCTTATTTTCTCAGACCCGGTTTTGACCTCTTTCCTTTCGCTCGTGATTTTCTGCCATCGATTTACAATTCCAGGCCAAACTACCATCCCTCGGAGCGTTTCCCAGCCCTCCTCTACCCTAGTGTTTAATGAAGCCTGACTTTAAAGTTCGAATAAGTTCATCAGAGTTAAAGCTATGACTTCCTCAAATATAAGGGGACTTAAAGAAGGTCGGCAAAAATGGAATTAAAGGACAAGTTTATCTTGTTGCAAAAATTTTTTTTGAAATCCACAGCTAATTTTTTAATAATACCCATATCCGTTAACTTTTTGAAAACCTCCGCCTAGAAGCTTTTCTTTCTTAAAATGTGCTTTCTATTTTAGAGATATGGAACAAGTTAATTTCACCTTCACTCCACCTTGGGAATTATGAGAACCTTGTATTGCAGTAATGTATATTTATGCATAAAGCTGCAGACCACACTCTTGGGTTTATTTCTTGCCTTCCAGTTCATTCTGTGACCTTGAACAAGTCACTTAACCACTAACAAGATATTTACCTGACTCAGAGAGGTGTTGCAGAGCCTAAGGAATTTATTATTTCTTAAGAGCGCTAAGGGTTTCAGATGAAAGGAATGCTTAAATAGAGGATGTGACTCTTTTCTGAATCTGCAAAGCATCCTTAGTTTTGTATATATCCTGCTGCAGCCATTTAAAATGCCAAGTGATACTTGTTAAGGATGTTCCTGTTCTGAGCAAGCTCTGCGGCTTTGCCATGTAAGCAGATTTTGTATTTCAACTGATTCTGTTCGAAATGAATTGTTGAATGTAACTCATGATGTATTTAGATCGTTTCTTAGGACTGTAGTACTATATGGAAGGTGATATAGCTTGTGTCATATCTTTATTATGTTGGTATGGCTGCCTTGAAATGTATATTCCTTTTCTTCAGACATTATTAGCTGCATTTTAAGATTAGATGGTAAGAATCCTGTAACAGTTCAAAGAAAAACATACCTGTCAGTGATTAAGTTTTGCACAGAGACATGTACTCTATTTGAGAAAATAGTGCATGATAAAAACTAAGAAAAATATTTTAAAGATGTCATTTTAACCTTTAATTTTCTTGGATATTTAGTTGGACTTATTCATCTCTATAAGCATTTGTAGGAAACAACCAAAATGGCTTTTGTAAAGCAAGACTGTTGGAAAATAAAGCCAGCACATTAGAATTTTATTCATCATATCCAAAAATATACTAATTTTTGCAGAAGTGGAAGGGAAAAGTGTCTGTTTAAATATGAGTCACAGGACCAGCAGTTAGTGTAATGGCTGTATCACTGGACTCTCATGTAGTCAACCATGGTTCTAGTCCCGGACCCAGTGGCTTAAACTCACCCTGGGCGTGTGTGCATGCGTGCCCAAGATCCCTAGAGGAGAATGGAGGAGAAGGGATTGTGGTGTGGCCGTCCCCCCTAGGGGGTGATTTCTTGATTTCTGTCTCTCTGTCTGTCTCTGTCTTTTGGTGAGCGCACACGCTCTATAACATAAACCTCTCTAAAAAAAAAATGAATCACTAATAAAGTTAGATATAATTAAGGAATAATTTGAAAGAATATCATACTTTTATCCCAGTTACTTATTTCTGCATAGCATATCAGTCTAAAACCTAATGGCAAAACTACAAATGCTACCTCTCATGTTTCTCTGGGATGACTGCATTTAGCAAGGTGGTTCCCAATTCACATATGCATTTGTATTCAGATAAGCAGCCAGGGTTGGAATCATCAGAAAGCTTAAATGGGCTGGACCTCCAGGGTAGCTCCCTCATATATGGATGGTAGCTGATGCTGACTGGGAATGTATAATGTGGCTTGAAACTCACCCCAAGCATGCTTGCATGTGTGCCTGCTCAAAATTTCAGGAGGAGAAGGGATTGTGGCATGGCCATCTCCCTGCCCCAAGGGGGGTTTGATTTTTTAATTTTCCCTCTCACTGTCCTCTGGAGAGTGCACATGTCCTTGGGCAAAACCTTTAAAAATTTTATTAGTTATGGGACCAGCAGTTAGCGTAATGGCTAAGTCGCTGGACTCTCATGTAGTCGACTGCAGTTCACATCCCAGACCCGGTGGCTTAAAACTCACGCCGGGCGCGTGTGCGTGCGTGCCCAAGATCCCCAGAGGAGAATGGAGGAGAAGGGATTGCGGCATGACCATCCCCCCTGGGGGGTGATTTCTTGCTTTCTGTCTCTCTGTCTCTATGTCTCTCTCTGTCTGTCTGGCGAGCACACGCGCCCTATAGCGAAAACCTCTCCAAAAAAAAATGATTAGTTATAATATATGAAATGTTGTATTAAACTTGTTTGGAATTCCACATTTATAGCCATACTAATTTGGATAAAGTAATACTTATGTATGGCGAATAGACATTGTTAAGATAACGAAGCTTTTTCTCTTTTGACTAGCACAATTTAGTTTTTATAATACTAAATTTTCTGAAAATCTCCAATGTGTGAACTCACATGTCTTTCTCATGCTGTGAAATGAAATTGTTGTTATAGCAGCAATTTAAAAATTAGCAAGTCCTGGGAACAGCAGATGACGTAATGGTTATATCTCCTGAACTCACACATGGCTGACTGGTTCAAAAAGGCATGGGGGAACCAGCAGTTAGTGTAATGGCTATGTCACTGGACTCCCATGTAGTCGACTGCAGTTCAAGTCCTGGACCCGCTGGCTTAAACTCAAGCTGGATGCGTGTGCGTCCGTGCCCAGGATCCTGAGAGGAGAAGGGATTGCGGCATGGCCATCCTCCCTGGGGGGTGATTTCTTGCTTTCTGTCTCTATGTCTCTCTGTCTTTCTGGTGAGCGCACACGCCCTATAGCAAAAACCTCTCCAAAAAAAAAAAAAAAGAAAGAAAAGGCATAGGAGTTTCCCTTCAGGTTTTATTTTAATTTCTCAATTATAAAATTTAAAAAATGAAAATCTCATAATTTGGTAGGTTGGAAATATTATATAAATATATATAAAGTATGTGTGTATGTGTGTGTGTGTGTGTCTGTATATGCCTGAGAAAGAAATAGAGACAAGGAACTCTAGGTCTTGTCACACTGCAGTCCTCCCATAACCCTTCTAGCCAGTCAGGATCCCAGGCATCCCTACTGGGTTCAGGTCTACTCAAGGTCTGAACCCCTGGCCTTCCCACTTGGCTTCAATATCATAGATGCAGTGGTACCCCACTGTGGCTGGGCCAAGGGATATTATGTAAGATACTGATGTCAACTGGAAATAGATTGTCATCTTCATATTATTTTATTGCTTCTAGCAGTGTATGTTTATATGCATTTTTTATGTTCATGGTTCTTAGTCTGGCGCATGATAGAATTCACCAAGGGAACTTTTATGATGTTTCTTTGTTTTTCTTTTTTCTAATTTGTCATAGGGTGTATACACCTGCCAGAGACAGAGAGAGGAAGCCGGAGAAAGCATACCTCACTGGAGTGTGGCCACGCTGCAGTCCCTTCTCTGTTTCTCTGTTCATTCAGGATTTGGGGCACATACATGTGCTCAGCATGTTTTTCAAACTGCCATCTCCACAATTCGAACTGCATGGTCGGTCATGTGGGATCCAACTCTCATAATCACCAGTCTGTGGGCTGGCCCAACATCTGGGAGCTTTTTAAAAAATACCTATGCAGGGCCAGCTGGTGGTGTGGTGGTTAAGGCAGCTGGATCCCACATGGCCAGTTGCATGGTTTGAATCCCAGAACCAGTGGCTTGAAAAACATACTGGGCCTGGGCACATGCATGCCCAAAATTCCAAGAGGAAATTGGAAGAGAAGGGATTACAGTAGGACATCCCCTTGGGGTGATGCTTTCTCACCATCCCCACCATCTCTCTCCAGTGAGTGCCCTGTGCTTTGTAGCAAATTAAAACAGAACAAAAAAAGACTTTCTGTAAGACCTATCCCCAGATTCTGATTTAATTATTTAGGAATAGGGTGTGGGTATCAATAGTTTTAAAAGTTCTCTAGGTAATTCTAATTAACAATTAGGATTGAGAACCTTGTCTTTTTACTTGATACACAATAAATATACTGGCTCCCTACTCATCTATTTTATATCTGTTTAAACAATTCAATCTTGAGAACGAAGAAATAAGAAATGGGTTAAATGTGTAAATGTAGACAGGCCTATATTCTGAGAAACAGTTACCCTTTTGTTTGTTTCTAGAAATGGCCTTTCTTAATAAAATGAACAGATTTCGGCCTGGCTTGGGGCACTAAGTATACTTTGCTTTCTATCTTAACCATTGTGTACTTTCATCTTAAGAGGTTAAAACTTTGTTGGAAGGTATATTTATTTGTACCCCTGTGGTTTCCAATGTGTGTATAGTAGGTACTTTAATGTTTGCCAAATTGAAGCCAATTTATATAGTCACTCTTAAGAACTTTGGCATTCTAAAAACTGGAAAAATTGCTTGGAATTCTCTTTCCTTGGTTTCCATGATATGGTGCGCATTTTCTTGGTTTCATTCCAATGACTCTTGTTTTCTTTTACTGAGTCTTTTCTCCTGTAAACCTCTCTGAATTCCGGGCACTTCAAGTAACTTGTCAGCTGTAGAAAAACAAGAGTTCATTTCCTGGGTAATTTCTTTCTTTTGATTTTCATTGTTAATATAAATGTCTAGATTTTAAAAATTATTTTATAAGTTATCTCCCAAAACATTAGGTTTTTATCAAAATTAATGTCTTTTTTAGTTTAATG